CCTCCTCATCTAATTTCCACCTCTTCTATGTCTCTGCATTAATAGTAGCACCAGGCCACTCCCCTGGACTCAGATAAAATCTCTTCAGAATCTTGCAACTTGGAATTCTGAGGGAGACCCATTTCAACCTTCCCACCACCTGTTCTCTCCCCCTCAGCCCATTCTCTTCTCCTTGGATGTCAATTCCTGTCCGGAGCCCGCCCCGCACCCAGGCTCTTTTTCCGGTGGTATGTGCCAGCCGGTCCTGCATCCCACATCCCCAGCTGTTGACATTTCGTTGCCATTACCCACGGCATAAAGAAAGGGGCCCTGTTAGTCAACAATAGGGGGAAAGACAGAGACAATGGGAAATTGTGCTTCCGATGGGTGGGAACAGAGAAGGAAAGGACAGACAGACGGACAGATGGGGAGGGCAGAGCTGGATAGAAGGGGTCAGCTTCCTTGAAGCAGCCCACCTTAAGAGCCTCTTCCTAAAGGGCCATGCACACCCAGCCGCCGGTGGGCAGAGGTGCTGGGAAGGGAGGTAGAGGAGCTGCCTAAATGAGACCCACATGGAAGTGCAGAGGAACCGAGGTTGACTGCTATGGATCTGTGAGCCACATTCAGGCTTCATTCCCATCCCACCGGTCCTACACCTTCACGCCCACTGGTCAGTCCACCCCCTTCTGGTTCAAGAGCGTTTAGAAGAAACAAGGCACCTGCTTTCTGCACTCTTCCAGGTAATTAGTTCTAAGATGATCCCTTTACTCCGTCTTCCCTCCTGGTTCCCACCCCTCATCCCAAGCCCATCGTCTCCTCCTGGTCCCAGGACGGTGAGCTCCACAGATAAAGGTGCAGGGCTGGACACAGGTCACTTAGCCTGGCTTAGTGACCGATGGTTGAGAGAAGCTTCCAGCACTCTTCTTCTTCTTTGAGCACCGGGATGCAGCCTTTCTCACAGGTATAAAGGGAGTAACCACTTGGTCAAGTGCTCAAGCCCTGGGGCTTCAAAGTGCTTGGACTTCCAGAGAGACCCAGACACACCTTTACCAGGACCCACTTGACTGCCTTGAGCAGGACAGAAAGCGGCTGAGCACTGCTCCCTTCGTCTCTGGAAGAGACCAGCTTCTCACAGGTAGGCAATGGGGCTGCTGGCTACCGTGTCATTTTTGGCCAGAGGATGAAAACACTATGTGAAAACACTGTATTTTAAAATACAGAAATATATGGGGGCTGGGGTTGTGGCTCGGTGGTAGAGCACTTGCTTAGCATGTGGGAGGTACTGGGTTAGATTTTCAGCACCACATACAAATAAATAAATAAATGTCTATTGACAAGAAAATATCTTTTAAACAATACAGAAATATAGATCAGTGATAAAGAGCTTGTCAGATCTGGGTTAAAATCCCAGCAGATCCTTCCTCTTACTATGGGACCACACTGAAGTTTCCTAAAAAGTGTGCACCTTTGTTTCAACATGTGTCATATGGTGTTTGTTAGTTCCTGTCCTCACAGGATTGCTCGGAAGGGGAAATACACACTTATGTATATAAGTATATACACAAAGTGCTTGAAGTGGTGTCAGGCATATTTGACTTTAAACATTTTTTTAGTCATTTCAGAGTTCTTTTTTAA